GTGGGAAATCTCCTGGAACAGACGGCCTAACAGCTATTTATTATAAATTGCTAAGTGAAGAAATGTTAGAGCCTTTGAAGCAGTTGTTTAATAGTATTCTGTTAGGTGAAGAAGTACCTGGATCGTGGAGAAGAGCTTTCATATCATTGATCCCAAAAGAAGGACAGGATTTAGCACAACCAAAGAATTATAGACCTATTTCACTCTTAAATACAGATTATAAGATTTTTGCTAAAATTTTGGCCAATAGATTGATGCATGTTTTACAGAAGTTAATTCATGGTGATCAATCTGGTTTTATTGTGGGAAGGTATATGAAATATAATGTGAGACAGATAGTTAACTTGATAGAGTATTTAGAGAAGAATAATCAGATACCAGCAGCTTTTATATTTTTAGATGCGGAAAAAGCATTTGACCAACTGGATTGGAAGTTTTTATTTTCAGTAATAGAAAAAATGAATTTTGGAGATAAATTTTTGTTAGCTCTTAAGGCTATTTACCGACAGCAAACAGCACAGCTTATAATAAATGGAGGACTAACAGACTCATTTGAAATACAGAAAGGTACGAGACAAGGGTGTCCCCTATCTCCATTGTTATTTGTTCTAACAATGGAGGTTTTATTGGTTAAAATCCGTGAATCACAGGTCATAAAGGGTATAAAAATTAAAGGAAATGATTACAGATTGAGAGCATTCGCGGATGACTTAGTCCTGACCTTAACACATCCAAAGGAATCCGTAAATGAACTAATGGTGATAATAAAACAATATGGGGAGTTATCTGGATTTAAGGTAAATAGCCATAAGACTAAAATATTGTCTAAAAATATGAATGCTAATGAAAGAAGGGATTTAGTAGAATTAACTGGTTTTGAAATGGTTAAAAAAGTTAAATATTTGGGTATAGATATCACAGCCTCAAATACGAAGTTGTTTAAAAATAATTATGAAAAATTATGGGGTTTGGTACAAAAGAATCTACAGGACTGGAAAAAATTGCAATTATCAATGTTAGGTAGGATTTCAGTTATTAAA